ACAAAATTGCAATTACAATTTACAAAAAACTGTGAACTTAAAAATTATTATAAGACTTACAAAACAAAGAAAACAAACAAACTTGGGTTTGGACTAGACACAGGACAAGATCACAATAAACTGTAAATGAACTGTGATTTTTCATTAGAGTTTTATGTACATAAGTTAGGGTTGCTACTTACTAGATATAGGACAAAATCACAATGAACTGTGATTTTTATTCGGTTTTAGCATAGATACGTATGTTAAGGTTGCTAGGTATTTAATTGTAAGGTATTTAACAGACAATCTAGTAATTATTTTATTTTATATATATACCAATCCTTACATAATAATTTAAAAAAATACTAGATTTACTATTAAATAGCGTCTGAAAACAGCTTATTGGCAACAACACGTGAGTAAGTACCAACCTACGTACGAAAAAATCGAATGATAAATCACAGTTCACAGTGATTTTGTACCTTGTCCAAATTGAACTACGGTAAGCTCACTCACTCGGTATCACTTACAACCAAAAAATTGCCTAACACCAATTTTCTGTGAGGCATCACTCCTATCAAGCTGTCCCATTTGTACCGCAGGATGGCTCTCCTACCATAAACCTTTTTATGATTTAAAGTCAAAGTTATCTGTAAAAATTATTACTTGGTATGTATTTGTAGTTACTTGCTAAGAGTATCGTACCGGTGATTAAATAAAGAAATGCCTTTTAGTTATCCGTCACATAGCAAAGTTGACATAATTAGCTACCACATATTTTATGTTTCATGTTCAAAGGTAGAATTATAATATTTATGATTGCTAATTAATGTCGTAATTCATTTTTAAAGTAGTTTAAAAAAAATGATGAAACAGTTAAAAAGCTCGTTGCTTGGTTGAGGTATAGACAATGCAATAACGATACTCGAATTTTATTATTTGACTTTTTTAAAGAAAAAGTTAAATTCAATTTTACTCATTCACTTCATAATCTTGTTTATTGTAATTACACGGGATATCATCGAGCTTCATTGTTTCGAAATAAGATAAGAGGTGATTTGCCAGAGAGGCAATAGTCACTCTGTAAGGATAAAACTCTGCGCATGCCAGAGATAATAAAAATATTCTTACAAAGTTATACAATAAAATTTTCGTTTAAGCAAATTTATTATAAGTTATTTCTTTATCAGGTGTGTAGGCAAAGTCTAAATAAAGGTCTTGTTACTTGACTTGACGGTATCTTAATACCGTTTAAAAGGAGCTGTAATAATAATGTTGAACTTAGATATAACGATCTACCTTTTTTTGATGGAAAGCGACTACCGCCGCCCATGAACACCTGCAACTCAGGAGTCACAAGCGCGTTGCCAGCCTTTGAGGAAGGAGTACGCTCTTTTCTTGAAGGTTTTAAGGTCGTATCGGTCCGGTAATAATAATTGTTCCACAGATTGGTAGTGCGAGGCAAAAAGTGTATTGAAGAGCGCACAGTGGTGGAATTATCCAAATGGTGGGGATAAAAAATTTGCCGTATGGAACGATGGCGGAATGTTGCAGCCGGTATTAGTCCGAACAATTCTTCGGAGCACTCCACATGATATATACACCTACTACTACTACTAATCTAAATCAACATACATTCGAGAACAATTTATCGTTACCTAAGTGAAATAAACTGTGTTTAATGGTTGAGATCCAGGCTGCGTGATGGTCACTCCGTACCGTTACTGTTGATCCCTTGGATTCACTGCTCTCGATGTCTCATCATCAATCTACATCATTATTAACAGCCTTTAGCAGTCCACTGCTGGACATAGACCTCTCCTTAGAAAGGAGGTTTTGCCACCCTTTGAGTAACGCAAATTCACTTGGTGCTTATGCCTTCGGTAACCTCACTCCCTCGATAAAAAGCGACTAAAGAATTGCCTAAAACTTGCCCTATGAGGCTGTGGTATGACTCTAGTCGAGCCAATATGTGCCTAGTGCTAAATAATAATTAGGTACATAATGGGTAAGTGTGTCGTGTTCTGGAGACAACATTTTTTACTCCGAATTTCGTACCCATACAATAGTTTTAAGCGTTTTACATAACAGTATTATATAAAAGAACAAACATTTTACCAACGTAGCACCTAATTCAATAATTGTATAAATAACAATTAAACTGTCACTTACAGCCTTGTAGCTAGCCAACAAGTTAGACGTCATTAAACAACGCGGGTTGAGTAACGTATAACGAACCTTTCAGAATTATTAGTATATTTCAACGGTAATTGCGTATACAAACAGCCTTGTTATGGCCTTAATTATTGGCTATTTCACTGGCCTATTCATCCAGTGGTTAGCGATCTTGACTGAGCTCAGACAGAGGTCGGTCGTAGGTTGTTTCTCACCCGTATCTTGGTGTATTTTATGTTTAATATGATTGTATTTAGTTCTTAATATGTTTTGTTTATCAGTAAATCATACGACAGTGTGTGAGATGTGTAATTGTTACTAACATTATCATATAGAAAATTGTGTTTTTAAATTTAAAATGAGTGTATGTTTACATATGCAAGCATATAAATCAAAATGTTGGATAGCTGAAATAATTATAAAATTTAATGTTAGTCTTTTTCGGTTCGAAATTGATTGATATTAAAAAATCCGTAGCAAAATTGCTAACTGTAGGTAGTTTTGTAGTAACAAAATTAAGTATTACAATATCGGCAGAATAGTTTTAAAAATATTTCCTTGTTTTATTTTTGGGCTATACATAGGTAGAAAACCTAGAATTATAATAGAAAGACATTTTTTAATAAGTTATATAACTTTTTGCCAAGTGAACCAAAAAAAACGGTTATCAGCTAAGTGTCAATGAATTGATATCTTTATCCAAAATACAGATCTTAACCTTATTTAGTATAAGAAAACCTACTTGCAATAGTTTCAGTATAAGAAAACCTAATAAGAATATAAATAATTAAACGAGAATCTCAAAACAAGGAAAATTACATTGCAAATATGAATTTAAAGAATGGGTTTTAGAAAGCTATTGATTTTCTTACAAGGAGATTTGAATATAATGTTTAAGGCAAGCATAGATATGGATAAAACTGATACATTAGAAAAAAGTACAAATAATTATCTAAAAACAAGAAATATGCATACTGCCATTCGAAAATCATACTATATAATTTCGTATGTGTTAAATAACATCATAAAATATTATTCTGTTACAACTAGCAATAAATATTGACATATAACTTATCTCTAGGGTTTTAAAATATGTGTACAATGACATAAACGCAAAGAAGTCCTTTATCAATCCCTTAACATGAATAACAATTACAAGTTTTCATATTTGGAATTGAAAATAGGAATTACTAGACTATATATTCTTTAAACACGACAAAAGATAAAGACGTAATACAGTAAAAACTCAACAACATATTGTACTATAAATATATATGTGTACAATTACAAATGTCTTTTTCGATTTTCGACACGACTTCCTTTCTTTCTACACAAGACCGCGACAAGATATTCATTCATCTTTCGATAGCTCACGAATGTCAATATCCGTCAATATGGAAAAGTCACTATTCCTGTCCCGATTCACTTAACATTAAAAGAAAATGAAAATATTCTACGAAATACTACGAAAATCGCTATTTGTATCGCTAATCGTTATTTGTAGGGCCCACCATCACAATATCTGTTTTATATAAATAAAATGCAAACTGCGTATCGCAATCAAAACAGATTTCGAAAAAAAAACGGTAAAACAATTTGTTCTGTCCTGTCTTTTTTTTATCGTTTTACATAATGATTACGAGCAGTTCATCGGTCATGAAAAGTCCAATTATTATCTGATATGAATCATTGTTTTCACATACCTGATGCGACAGGGGCTATGTCAGGCCCGTTGAGCATCTTCACCGTGATGGCTCCAGGTAGTACGCTGCTTAACACCGACACGATGGCAATTTGCTTCACAATTTCACGCAAATACTACGTTTAACTCGGGAAATGCGAAAAAATAAGCGGAGCCCAACAGGCTGTTTCTATATTGCAATATCGATTGAATTGTGAGGGTAGTAACGCATGCGTCTAAACTCATGCCCCGCACTTGCGCTGTACAACAGGAAAGACGTCATTTGACAGTTGACAGCTTTACGCTGTTTTCCGGTGATTGTTCTCAACAACATTAATTCAAATATTTTTGTTGATCATTTTATCATACTACCCTTCTTTATTAATGTCAAATTTTACTAACTAAGAGCAAAAAATAAAAGCACCGACAGCAACAAAAATGGAGGTGTCTGGAACCATTGTAATTGATACGTTGAACCCGTAAGGACAAGCACTGAACTTGCAATCGAGTTGTTTCGGGTGTGTACCACTATTCATATTAAAGGAAACCAACTAATAACACAAATATTTCGCTTGCTAGGCCCCTCCTAGCAAGCGAAATATTTGTGTTATTAGTTGGTTATAACATCTTGTAACGTGACAAAGATACTGGCTTTGTCTAACCCTAGTTTCAAAGATTCTAAAAAAAATACTCGTACTTGAAAACTACAACAAAAACTGTAATAAAATTATTTCATGGAACAAACACTTTTACATTTTTATTCTTATTAGTGTCAGGTAATTGAAACATGATTGATCTTTAAAAGAAAATCTTTCCAAAAAGTATATCCCTGTTAAACTTCAATAGGCCTCAATTATATATGTTTTATGGCCTATGCCCAGCAGTGGACTGCGATAGGCTGATGATGATATGTTTTATAAATGTGATAGTGCAAGAGGTGACGGCCAAAAAATGCAAATTTCAAAATTAACTTGTTATAAATTAATTTTTATTGAAAATCGTAAATAAATTTACATAAAATATTAATAAATATCATTACATCACGTGTACAACGTATCTGTTTTGGTGTGTAGTGTATATGTTTCGGTGGCAGCAATCTGCATGTATATACGTGTGTTGTTTCTGTGTGTTGTGAATGTGTACAGAAGTGGAGTGCGAGTGTTTAGTAACCAGCCAGCTCGGCGAAGGTGGAGTCCATCTCGTCGGCCAAGCTCTTGTATCTGTCCTTGTTGATGCCAAGCTCATCTGTTAACACATATTATCATTAAAATGAGCACGTGTCACGGACATTAGGAGCAACTACTTCAGGACTAGAATCTTACATACATACAATACTGATACATTTAGTTTTCATTGTCTAACTACGATTAGGTATATCTTTGAAAAGAATTGAAAATAATGTCTATGAATGTTATTTTAGTAAATATAGTTGTCTTTAATTTTAAATAAGTTTATAGCGGAAGCATAGCTTTAAAGTTTATTTAGAAATAAAGGAATTAAGAGATTAAAATAGTACCTTGGAAGCATTGGTCCGCGACGGTAGCACCAAAGCGATAGATTTGTTAATTACAAACAAATAAGCAGGCTAAACACTGAGATGTCTAAAGAATTGTTTTGTGGAATGCTCTAATGAACATTCACAGTATATATACTCTCAAATGTATCTAAACAATCCTATAAACATCAAAGCAGAGGTTACGCATTAGATGAATAAAGTTTTAGAATTTTTAAAACAATGGACTTCGGACGATCTTGGCTACCAATTTACAGTCGATCTAAACAATGAACGTGAAAGGCTGTAAAGGGTCTAAGGCGTCACTGGAAATGGGTAATCGAATTGGGCTTTATGGGTAATGTGATATGGACGGTTTTGACTTAAACTAAGTGCTATAAGGGCGGTTAGTATCCTGTCAGCTCGGCGAATGTGCCGTCCAAGTCATCGCATATCGCCTTGTATTTCTCCTTCTCGCTGAATAATGCGTCTGTAAAATTTAGTCATTTGATAATAACTTACAAAACGAACCAACTTGATCCATCGCCTATATCCATTTCCTATTGTGGAGATAAAAATTAGTTTCTATTAGATAAGTTTGGATTAAAAAAGCTCTTGCAATGTTTGTGAGAAGCCATAGTATTCTCCTTTTGTTAGAAGTTTTTTTTTATCATTAGGTTTTTAATGAATAGATCACTTGAAATTTAAGACTTGTTACTTTGATAGACCATAGAAAGTTATATTTCTGAGTTATAGTTTTAATCTGATCTTAGTTTTTAATGTATTAGAGTTGTATTTAGATTGAATCATACCTTCGAGCCTGTCGACCTCCTTCTGCAGTTTCTTGACAGTCTTCTCGGCGAATTCGGCACGGGCCTCAGCCTCTTTAAGTTTGATTGTGAGGGTCTTAAGCTGCTTCTTGAATTCTTCGACACGTTGGTTAGCCTTCTCTTCCGAGACTTCCAAAGATTTAAGAGAGTTACCTACAACCTGTATATAAATGCTTGTTAGTTTCAGTTCTCACTGCTACGAATGTTTACGACTTTATGTATTAAAGTATATCTCACTTACCTTTAATTCCTCCTCAAGTTCTGAGATTTTGGCATCACCGGACTTGACACGGTCTTCAGCCACTTCAAGTTCGTCTTCAACGAAGGCCAGCTTGCGTGATACCTGAACATCACAATTGAAATTACATAACGTGCAGAGAAAACCATATCCCCCGTTTTAAAGAATCGACAATTAAATGTTTAATAAGTTCTCTAGAAGTTTGTTAATTATTTTGATCTAAAAAGTTTCTTCACTTGTTTACAAATAGTAATAGTCTAATATCAAAGTCCTCACTTCGTCAGATTTGCCATCAGCGTCCTCAGCGAGCAGACGGGCTTCCTTCAGCTGGTTGGTAAGTTGGTCCATGCGCTCCTCGTCTTGCTGTGCTCTGTTCTCCAACACTTTGCACATTCTGCAACAAACAATTATCACCTGAGTATTATACTGGACATTCCAGATTAACATTGCTTTAAAAAACACAAAACTAACTTTATTTTATGTTCACTAAAGATGACTTACTACTTTCTGAACTTGTTTATATTGTCCTGAGCAACTATTCCATAATCTATCTTTATATTTACCTACTCATTTAAAAACCCTTCTGTGTTTCCAAATATGTTTTCAATAGGCGTTTTATTACTCTGTTTAATCTGTTTGATCCTTGATTAGAAATAAGTATATTTGATTGGTCAAATAGATATACTAATTTGCTTCTTTTACGTTATGGTATATATTTTTTAACATTTTTTTAATTTCTCACCGGTTGTTCTCATCAGCAGATTGCTGTGCCTCAAGAAGCTTTTGCTGGGCAGTGCCGGACCTCTCCTCGGATTTTTCGAGATCCTCCTCAATTTGTTGGACCTTCCTGTTGAGGGCAGCAACTTCGGCCTCAGTGGCGGTTAAAGTCTTTTCTTTCTCTTCTAAGTCCTTGTTGGCCTGTTCCAGCATGTTCTTGTTGCGAACCAGATCTTCCTCCACCTGGGCGAGCTTCTTCTGGAGTTCACGGACTTCCTCGTTGACCTGGAAGAGTAAATCATAAACTTAGTTAATAACCTTAACTATATTGATATAGTAATATTTACGTTTCAGTTTAGGACTTAAGATTTTTTGTTAGTTTTTGCAGCGCTGATGCAGGGATCAGGGGTCCATGATTTTTCATATAGCGTTTCCTCCTAGGATATACCTACACTAGATAGTCTTGAGTGAGCGCGCTTATTAATTCGCGGATTTCGCGAATTATGAAATATACAAATCCATTTACATCCAAGGCTGGAAAGTATGTATCGTTAAAAGATTAATAAAGAACAGAAACAGTGCACTAAATTTAATTCTCCTACATATACGTAAATATTGCTTTTTCTTATTATTGAATTACTATAAATGATTATAAACTAGCTGTACCCTGCCACGCTTCGATATGGCCTATTATGGTTGCATTGATGAGAAATTAGGAACAAAACTGACGTAAAAATACATAAAAACAATCTTTGAAGCGGGTATACCGTCTCAAAATTTAAATTCAAAAGGTGCAGAACTTTTTGTGGTTTTGAAGAGTCCGGACGTGCTAGGTCCACCCGTTGAGTTCAGATACTGAGGTCGATAGTCCCTATTAGTCAAAAAAAGTCAAGGTCCTGAGTCAACACGATAAAAAGATATGGGCAAATTTAGATTTTTGCGAAAACTTGTAAGTAGGTACCAAAGTTTAAATTAATTTTCACCTTTTTTTATTTTTCGTAATTTCCCCTTTACTTGTGCTGTAAGACCTTCTTTTTAACCAAAATTGACAATTCTAGGTCAACCGGCAGTACCCTATAGGTTTTGGGTCAAAAACTTATACGGTAGTTCCCATTGACCTAGAATCACGAAATTTGGCAAAAAGCAAGGTCTTACAGCACAAATAAATAAAAATTCCAAAAAATAAAAAGGTTGAAAATTAAGGTAAATTTTGGCACTTACAAGTTTTCGCGAAAATCGACGTAAAATCTGGTACGGAAAGCTCGGCGTACGAGTTCGGCTCGCACTTGACCGGTTTATTTCATCTTTTCGTTGTATTGTGCTTGTGAGATTTTAAGTTTTCCTTCTTTCTCGTTTATTTTTTGCAATTACTATTTTGTGAAATTTATTGGCGAAGTGCACAAATTAAGCCCTTGTTCGTTTGCTGCTGAGCAGATGATGAGCCTCTTTCTTATCTATTTACGCTTCGAGAGCCAGTTTATGCTAGGCTCATTGAAGTTGTGAGTATACAAACAAGGCTCTTAGTATTCATTATAGGTTGGCACCTATTTATATATGTATATGTTAATTCATTATATCATTTCTTTATGTGTACTAAAACAAAACATAAAAATTAAAAGAAATTACTTCTGTACCTTTTCGGCACGGAGGTTGGCATCCCTGGCCTGCTGTTCACAGGTGTCTGCCTTGTCCATGGCATTGTCCTTCTCCAGCTTCATCGCCTGCATCTTCTTCTTAATCGCGTCCATGGTGGTGGCTTTGTGTCTTTACGGTTCGGTCAAAAAAACGCCAGTTACGGCCTGTAATTAAAAAAATCTATGAAGAACTTAACTTTGTCAATTTTTTGAACCGTACATTTTCTGCTTGGATTAATACATATAAATATATAATACGATATTCTAAGAAAAAAAACTAAATTGTAAACTCAATAGAACGTGCAGAAGTTTGGCCAGAATCGGAATACCGAATATTCGGCCAACCTGAAACCGGATAACCGGATATCCAGTTGGTAATCATTCTCATTTGTCAAGCCTGGATATCGAAAGTAATATCAAAAGCGATTTAAGGAGGCATGAATTGGCCTCATTGTAAAGATTTTAAACTTCTTCAGTCAAAAATTCAAAGCATTTTTTTTTTAAGTAAGAGTTTTCAAAGCTGAATACGAGTAAAATCGACGGGATAGCTATACTGATGGAATTGAATAAAATGTTTTGGAGTATCATTTCTTTCTTCTCTTCTTTCCTACTGGCTAAAAAAAAATGAGTCGGCTGCGAAGCTTACGATACGTTCTCAAATTGCTTTAATGAAATAGCAAATTAGAACCAAAAATAATTGTCGTCATGTACAAGAAACCAATGTGATTTCACATAAAGTTAAGTTTCACTTGAAGTTAAAACGAAAGTACTTTTGTAAAGATCAGAAGTATAACTAATTATGATAGCTTTTAACCCCACATTTTAATTTTTTAGGAAACCATTAGAACTTTTTAAGAGCCAGTACAGATTCATGGAAGCTGAAGCTAAATCAGCATTTTTACAATCAGTGTGTGAAACTACGTGTATGTGTCTTACAAGAGAAAGATTCCCATGATTAATTTATTGTTTATTTTGTTTCAATTACAAATCAAATCTAATTTACGCTCAATCAAAATAAATAAAGCCCATTTAACCAACACCCTGCCCTTTAATATTATTATTTTGTTAAATGTAAATACATTGACTGGAAATTAAGTACATACACGAAGGGTAAGGAGAGGCTTATTAACCACCCACGCCATGTACCACAATATTTCTCAATACCTTTTTCCAAGTCTCAGCGAAATCTCTGTAAAGTTTGCTGCAGTGAACAGTTAAATACTATATTTTAAACATTAAAGACGGAATTCTCCATTTTATTCCATGAAAATGGCACGCCGCCAACTCTCCAGATATCATGTTTATAATTATGAGATTTGTGCTTCTGATACTGAATTAAACTTCAAGTTAATTAAAAAGTGAAGTCAGCACAGTAATAACTAAAAAATAGGTATTTCTGACCATGTCCCTGTTTTGAAAGGTTTATCTGACACATTAACATTGATGGTCCATCCTTTATTCAGTTTAAAAATATGTTTCGGTTTACGACGCGACGTTAGGGTACTTCATCGTATCGGGTTGAGCTTTCCATTTTTCATGAGCTGTATATAAAAGGAGGTAGTTGTAGAATTTCCGTTCGCCTGGTCTCGTTTGAAATGTGTTGTGTGTTAAAGTTTCATTATCGTAGGCGATTTATTCATCGTGTGTCAGAATCGATTTATCTAGTGTTTAGACTAGAGTTGAGTAACGAACACTTCTTACTTGCAATAGATAACTGACACTTATATTCCGGAAAACTTACAATTTAAAAATGAATTTGAGTGTTCTTTCAGTCTTATGTCCTGTAGTTTGTTTTTAATAAAATTTGTGAAGGCAAATAATCCGATTGGGTGATACAGTTAAAATGGATACTTGCTACTTTTTTTAAAGTAGCAAGTATCTATTTATCCAAATATAATATAAAATATAAATTTAGTATCCAAAATAGCATTTTTATGGGGTTTTCAAGCTTTATTTTAGCTTAGCATTGTAAGCTTTAGCATAACTTAATCTCGTAATTATGGAAATACAACCGTTGATTCATTTGATAATCCTGGGGAGGACATTAATCCGTAAGCACTTTGATCTCCTTTCAATACTCTTCTCACTATATATACGAGTATAAATCTCAAAGTACGGCCATGGCCGACATTTTCTTAACGTCAGAGCTTTATTAAAGCCACAACAGTATATGCGAACATCGCCGGGTTAGTCTGTTTATAATAACCAGAGGAAAGGCGCTAATGAATGTGAACCAAAATAGTTGTATCTGGAAAGTTTTGAAGGGCGTTATAAATACGCAAATATTACGTAAACTGAGTTCATTCGAGCCATTGTTAAGATAATATTATATTTCTCGTTACTGTCTATTGTTTTTACTTAGCTATGAACATACCTACTTCTCAAAATAAACACATTTTTGAGTTATACTCGTATCATTAATACTTTACAAAAAACGCTCAACATCGATATCATGTGTTTCATATAATGTTCGCTAATAGATTAAATCTTTTTTTTTTAATATTAGGACTGAGAGAGAATCAGACCCGCGAACTAGGTCGTTGCTTTAGAAGTTTAGATCGTCGAATTAAACATCGTCATGATATCGTATAGCCAAAGTTCAGGTTAATAGTCTGATAATATATTCAAATTTCACAACTGCAATGAGATTATTATGTTTTGTAATTCATTCATTTTCAGGTGCATATAATAGATGATGCTACCATATTCTGAAACAACATAATACGTAGAATGCATTTTGAAAAAATATCATTATAAGTGAACGGAAATGTCATTTGGCGGGTTTCATGCCATTCATGTTTCAAACTAAACCTCGGGACTTAATTTCCAATACTTAACTACAATATCCAGTTAGAGACAACCCTCTTACTTCCTAGCAACGGCCAGTTAAGTTACAGGTATGTGACCTTGATCTACGCGAATTATTGCTTATCCCCCAATCTATCCGTAGATATGAGCAATTACGCAATCCCTTTTCTAAAATTGCCTTTTATATTGCCAGATTTTCCTTTCATATTGAACTCAGTTCATGGCAATAGGCTTACTACGTCAAAATGATAGTCGGCAAAATGTGAGCATTTAATAGTCCTCTGCTTACCTTCCTTTCAGCGATTTAGAGTTGAGTTTTTCTTTTAATTTTCTCTTAAAAAGACAACTCCCGCACTAGGAATAAATCCTGTATCAGAGTGGACTTTACAAACATACATGAAACGGACACCAAGTACACCCAGACTCAGAACAATAATTTGTGGATCACACAAAGTCTTGTCCCATGTGGGATCGAACCCACAATACTCAACGCAGTACGAAGCGGCGAGGTGACCGCTTAAACCACTACGCCATCAGTGCAGTCAGTTGAGTGTTTATATAAATAAGAATTTAGATGTGTGATACAAATCTGTCAGTGAAAGAGATCGGAATGTGAACAGTATATAACATAAACTGATCCGTAGATATCAAAACCCCGCTCCGAATCGTTTTTGAAACCACGTTATTCTAATTTTACAAAACACTGAAACATGAGCTACGAGTATTTACAGAAACCTCAAGAATCAACGGATTATTTATTATTAATATTTTATAACCATCTGCAGTCGCTATAAACGACCAGTAAAATTTTACTGAACAAAACGGTCAAGCTTTAGCATAGCTGCGAAAATAACGCAACTTTTAGACGTGACGTGTTTCTGGCTCTCTGACAAGACCACCGACATATTGTTTAACAGAAATAAACGTGTTTTCACATTCAGAACAGCTGTTGCAGTGAGCTTCTACTAAATATAAGTCAGGAATTTTAGAACGAATGTTCTAAATTAATATATCACTTTCGCCTAACCTCACGCCCCACCTAACTTGGTCGTCAGGCGTGTGTTTTTCGATCTTTCATTTCAAATTGAATTAGTAAGACTAGTAACAGTGATATAAAAAGGCGTTACATTATTAAAAACATCCTAGTTTCTATTAGCAAGGTGTCATCTTTTACAAGACTAATCATTTGTTTGATTCAACAATTAATTTACTATCTCCAAAATTTTGCTGCAAGTAAACTCCTTATGGTCAATTTTATAATTTGCTAACTTTCAAAAACCGGTACATTGTCGTTTCTAAGTGAAAACCGTTACAGTTCATTTACTTCTTACAGCTGCTATAGTACATAATATGGCCACATAATTAAAAAGTAATCGAACTTTGCAGTTGATTTAAGCTCTTGAGAAGTTGAGGTTAATTGCACTTAGTCCAACAAAGTGTCAATATCAACCCTTAAGAGTCCAAGGTCAGGAGAAACAACGTCAACCCGTGCGTCACTGAATTAATCTAGCCAGTAAGACAAAGTAGATAAATCCTCTTAATAGCACCCACACGAAAGGCTAACATATTAATCAAGTTCGTAATACAACACACGGTTTCAAGACTAAAGTGAAAATTTGCGCTAGTAAGTTTTAAATTGAGCGTTAGCGCACAATTTAAAACTTAAGTAGATTGGTGGATTTAGGTGATTCATAATGCATTCAAGTCAAATAGAAACTATTTCCAATATGAATTAAATATTGTCTTGTTTGTACAAAGTTGTAATTATTTTATACATGAAAAGTTATATTCTAAGGGGCGAAAGTGTTTATGATTACTGTAAATGCCTACGATTCTTTTTAGTTCTTTAGTTATTCACAAAGTGTAGAAGCAGTTATCATAATTTTGTTGATTCTTTTCATTTGTACCTAGCTCTAGAATATTAATTAGAAGTTAACAAAAAAGAACAGAGTGAAACGACATTTAAGTTAAAATTGTGAAGCTCTAAATACGAATTTCGAGTATTAATTATAGAAAAAATAGTAAAAAATACACTTAATATTTCGTATTGGATGAATTTGTTCGGCTTTTATAAAATATGTAACTCATTTCCCTATATTTCTAATAGAAAACAGTACTTGTAATGTAAGAACTACCTATATTAATTAATATAGACTGGCGTGTTCGTTAAGTGATTACTGATCCTGTCTGCTGAACCGGGATTTGATCATTTTTTCAGTGTCAGTTTATCTAAAATATTTATTTATTTAGAAATACATAAGCATCTCTATCCCAAGACCGTCCTGTGTATTATGTGTCAAGTTATTATTATATTACCAATTTAGGTAGACCTGCAATTCTTTAGGTGGGTAGGTATACGATAAAACTCGTGGGTTAAAAGTTTGAGAGACAAACATTTCAAAGGCAGTTCCTTCCACCTGTGAGTAAGATCATCCTTTGCTTTTGAAGAGTTGCCAACAGTCTCGGATCGCCGACCGCTGCCTTTCATAATTCGAATGACCAAGTTTCATAATCCTATCTCTTGATTATTTATCACTACTGTTGTTATATCTCAGTTAGGGATTTTAAAAATTAGCTGGTATCTAATGTCATCTAAATAGGTACTTCACATAATTAAGTGTTTGATTTATGATATTCTCATATTATATCGGACTTGTCTTGTATGTGATAGTGACACCCAAGTTTTACTGTATATTGTATGTATTCATTTTATATGTTAGTATATAAAAGTTCTATATAAAAGTTATATATATATATATATATATATATATAAATATTTTTAATAAACACAGATATGAGGTATCTCTCTTTTTTTAATAAGAACTTTTATTATTGCGTAAAATTCATACGATTTCGCCATTACAGTGTATAAGTAATTGGCGAATAATTGTTTAGTTTAAAGTGTTTAAATTAGTATAATATTTTGTAATGTGCTTAATGAGTATCCATTATAAAACAATGTACTATGTTTAACATTTCCGTAACGGATAATACTACAAGTGTACGATGAAATCGGAAACCAAACATCAGTATCTAAACAACTACATTGTGTCTCAACGTCCTAATTCTACGATATATGGGCCACGACTGAGTCTAAATAAAAATTGAGACGAGTTTCCTCATCTCGCTAAATAAATACTGATGTTGGGGTATGCCGCAAATAGGTTAGAAGCGGACGAATGCGCGGGCGGTGCGGCGTGGGCGGTGCGACGAGGAGCTCACTATTTTCAGCGAGGACGCGCGACCATTGAAACCCGAGTCATATCCATGAAAAACGCAAGCCGTACACACCTCTCCACCACGAGTTCAACTATGACACTTTTTATCACACTGACCAAGACCGTCCTACATTTTCGATTTACCAAATTAACCCAAGCAGAAATGTAAATGTAACGTATCACAGAACGAAAACACCAAATATGCTACTGGATCCAAATCCAGGAGCTTGGATACTCCACACGTGCCACTTTAGGGTCACACTCTGTTGGAACTGTCCGGTACCGTTCGGCAGGGATCCAATGAGGTGGTAAGCCACGTCCAGGTGAAGTATCCAGGCTCGAGCAGCGTGGCGGCGACGCACTCACCTCACGAGCGGGCTGTTCAAACGGCGGAGCGACACGCACTGCGCCGCGCCCGCCCTCGCGGGCCAGCCGCACGCCCGCCCGACTATTTTCGGTGCCAAAAATCCAGGATTCCGATCCAGCATCGCAATCGCAACGAACGTGCCGATCACCGGGCGTCACGCTCCCACACACAGATATTCACTATTTTTGCTACGATCACCGTACGAGCGGTACTCTTATGACAAGGGCGGATGTGAATATTGATCGGTTTGATAGATCGCTGATGTAAAGTCATGTCTCTGGCTGTCAATGCCGTCTAAATCGATTAGGTGGCACTATTTTGCTAAAATGTTGCACGTTTAGGATTGTAGATTTTCAAAGTTCAGAGAGCAATCTGGTTTTAGTCTTGCCTAGTTTGATTCCGCTATATTTAGCTCTTTACACCTACTTGAACTCTATTGAAAACGGTATACTGTTGTCATAACAAAATATTTCATAACAAATTCTTCAACCAAAATATAAGCAAAAAATGCGTTGAATTGACATTAAAAATGATAGTCTAGACTATCGGTACTAATAGTTAACATAGCTAAGCGCATGCAAATAATATTGTAACTATTTTTAGATTTTGTTTTCTGTTTTGAATATACTGCCTCTGCCCTACAGAAGTCGAAATATATTATGTCTGTGACAACAGATCTGTTTCCTCGCGAACTGGTTACCAACCTAACAATCCTAGGGGTCAAGTTCACCGAAAAAGGGTAAATCTAAATAGCCTCCATCAAAAGCACGCGAAGCATGTGCGCACAAGATTCTATGTAACGGTGTTCCAGTTCCAGATTTCAGAGATTCTTTGCAGATGCTTACTTATACCCAAAATGAAAGGACAGTCTATTCCTGTCCGTAACGTTTATTAGTAGATAAGTTTCAGATAATTCCACTCCTTTGAAATTCAAAACCCCGGCAGTGGATAACGGGGGACCGAACTGAACCTGACGGCGCAGCGTAGGACGCCGTCGATTTGGAGACTCAACTATCTACTAATATATGTATATATGGGCAAAAATATTATTTATTATACCTATTATGTGTATTTTTATGTATTTGTATGTTTAGTTGTATTGTATTGTATGACAATCATTTTTAACTCAACGTTTTTATTATTATTTTTTGTTTTATTTCGTATTTTTTAAATTTTATCAAAACAATTTTTTAATTATATTTTTTGTTACTTTTAAGAATTTAAATTTTAAACATCGCTTGTAACTTTGTTCGCTTGGTTGATGGTATTATTATTTTTTCACTGTGCTTGCTGTGGTCTCCTGTAAGTGAAGGAGTACACCGACTTTAAACCCATTCTGTTAATTACTGTTTTTTTTACTTGTGTATATCTTTCGTAGGAGATCCAAATAAATAAATTTTGAGGGATCTATTAGAGTGGCGTGTCCTAATACGCGTCAGTATTCACTCGTCTTATTCATACAAAATGACGAGGCAATTATGAATTCGATAATAGGACACAAGAAAATATAAAAAAAAAAAACTTTTCACTAGGTCACCGCTTAGTACATAAAATAGGCAAAAATTACAATAACTTTGTCAGAGCATCAGCTGGGTAAGTAAAACGAATCTAAGTATTTTGAACAATGGTAGGTACATTTTATACACATTTTAGTCAGCTTCCCAACTAATTTATGCATGGCTCTTGGTATAATTAGTTGTATTAAACTAGGGTAGCATAATATAAAATCTGCCATAAGATAATAATATAAGATTGCAAATCCAATTCATAAATGTGAATTGTAGATATCCTGCTAGATTGCATTTCCAATCGAGTTTTATATAAGTGAATTTACGTAATCTGGTTTATATCTATGCCATCAGGACTTTTTGTAAGTATAAGCTTAAATTTATGAGGACCCAAGTGCTTCTGAATCCTTGTGGTGGCGGATTAAGAATACAGAGTGTCACCACCGTGAGCAAAACTACGCAGGACAACAGCAGAGAGAAGGAAAACTTGACACAAACCCTATACCAACCCGTCTGGCCAGCGTGGTGTAGTAGGCCAAAACCTCCTTTCTAAGGAGTGGCCTATGTCCAGCAGTGCACTAGTTAAGGGTTGTTGATGAAGTACTTCTGACCTGTCCCTTGGATGGACATCATCCGTTTGATCGGTGAGTTTTTGTTCCTGAATCAAATACCTCGGCTTTTACCTTCTCCAACTAATTTTCTTAACTATTCACAGCATGTAAACATCATATAAAACGAGTGTCGTGTTATATGGTTAGGGTTGACCATGCTCGCTCTTTATATTATTCCCCATCAACGATCAATTACTAAATAGCTGTACCAAGAGAAAACGAGAGCACATTAGAACCTATGCCGAAAAACCAGTCTTGGTAATGAGTTGACTGATTGGTTTACACAGTTAATAAACAATAAATTTACCTATACACTCCTTACTAATTATGATAAAATTTATGTGCCAATGAAGTGAATATATGTGTCTATGAAGGAGCCACTCACAAGAATACACAATATATTCAAAAGATTTAATAGATAAGTCTGTATCCTCGGCTGTGTGTTGTGTATTCATAACGTAACTGTTCGAAAACAAAGAAATAGCTGCAAGCTACTTATTCTTCCATCATGTGATACTTTCGGTGTAGACATAGCACTAAAGGACTCTTAATCTTTAATAGTAGCCCTAGAACTGATTTCGGGATTTATTCAAGCGTGTCAGATTAACATAGGCGGAATACCTTATACCCAGTTGAGTACCGCCACCATACATATAAGGGGAGCGTATAGGGCAGTCCATCAGATTAGTTAAAAAAAATCGATGGTCAGAAAAACTCGACTTGGGTTAATTACATACACACTATTGTGTTTTAAAAAATCTGAAGATTTGAGCTTGACATAAGGCAGTGGAAGTCAGTTTCTAAAAAAAGCACATGACCTTGACATTTTTTTTATTTTGAAGCACATGCAAGAAATCTTTAAATGTCTACATAATTTTTCGTGCCTTTATTTTGTTAAAAAGCAAAAAATAAAAATATTGCCAACCGTCAGATTTGAAATACCCTGCAAAATTGAGATCAGATTTTTTGCTAGCATGACAGGAACATTAAGCTGAACCCTCTTTATAAAATCTAACACACTCGGGTACTTCAAAATAGCGATTTTTAGAATTAGCAGTTTGCATTTTCGATAATTAGCTACAAGATTGTCAATTTCAAATCGTCAGACCTTTCAATGAGAGCATTTTCGGCATCCAAATAACATATCCCCAAAATATCTGATGCGCCCTAACATTTCTTTTTCCATATCCTCCAGACATACATTACATTTTTGAAAACCTGTAGAAGCTTTGCCCACCGCTGAAAGATGAAACCTTATGAAACTTTTATTCATTCTATTACATAATCTTTCAAATGCAACAGGTCCCCATGACGCTCGAGTAAATCCCCATTTAGTACCACGGGCTCCTCTACTATAAAGGATCAGGCACCAATCTCGAATTTATAGTCAATTTGATCCATTTTTATTGCAACTTAAATATTCAACATGCCATCCTCTATGAGTAGTAGGTATGTAGATTTCTTTTAGTTTCAAAGTTTTTTAAATGATATGGGTAACGCGCAGACGGTTCACCTTATAGTGATTTCCGCCGGCACACCTGCAACTCAAAGAGACACAAGTGCGTTGACAGCTTTTGAGTGTAATCTCTCTCCCCAATGTCGGATGGAGGAGGTTGGGCCTCCGGTACTCTCACTGACTCAACAAAGGCAACGAAAGAATTGCATTAAGCGACAGCATTTCATAATAGGTTCCCTCTATCTGGCAGAATCTTGATGCTAAGAATTTTATTTCTCATAACACACTTGACAGAATCTTCTTTAAACAAATAATTTTTAATAAAAATGATTCAGTATAATTATTGTTTGGCCGAATGTTAATATGTCCGAATTTACAATTTTTAAGATCGCATAATTTTATTTAGCATTACGTTTATTTAGAGCGACGATTATTTCGTAGAATTTCATTTGGAATAATTTTATTAGACGTTGCCTTAAAGTATCATTTTTAACGCTAAATTAAATCATTATCTTAAAAAGTCATGTCTTGCTACAAGAGTTTGCGACAGAAACGAATCGCTGCAAAACCGACTCCACGTGGTCTTGTCTGCCCTACCCCTAAGAGTGTAATTTAAGCCCGCGTAGGCGCGGAGGGGCTAGGCGGCCCGCGAGATGAGGTGGTTGGCATACTTGCTGGCTTTATTATTATGGTAAGAAATATAAAATGAAGGATTAAGTTTTTTAATTATTATAGATATGCAATGTATGCCAAAAGATGATGCTCACTCTAAACTTTGTGAGATATTGTAGTTCTGCCTTTTAATGACTATCGATATGAAATTTATGCTCAAAGGCAATTCTAACTAGGAACTTTCGGGGATATGATGGTTCTACATTTTTATCTTTAGGCATAAACTTTATATCCATATATAAAGTTTATGCCTAAAGATAAAAATGACTTACAAAATTATGCGTTTTGAATATATGAAAAATAAGTGTCAGCCAAACGATTTTCTGTGAAATGAATGTTTATGCTATCCGTTGTATGCAAAACATTTTTATGACATAAAAAGTTCTGCTATAAAGGGTAGAAGCTTTCATAACACTACCATACACAAACTATTCCATTGAAAAAATAAAACACAATAATATTTAGTATAAATTTATTATACAAGAGTGAACATTTTAAAGCGCTGATAGGTAGGTACACCGCATGTAAGCTAGTCTTAGAAAGATACTTAAATCGGAGTCTGTGAATATTTTATGGGAAGAACGTATGGTTCTAACTATTAGGTCTTATAAAATACAATTCAATTGTCATACAAAATCTATAAGTACTGTCTTATACAAAAATTCCCAAACCTATAATAATAAAAATGTCAGTCTCAGCTACACTTTGAATTTGGATGGAATGTAATATTAAACATTAAGAGGAATGTAGAAATGGAATAAGGCTGAAAACTGTTCTCAAATAAAATATCGTAGTCTTGTCCCGAATATCTTTATCTTCAAATTTTCGAGGGAGAAAAAAGATGTAACCTTTCCTTCTATGAAAATCTACATTTGTTTGGCTATATAGGTAGTCAATTATATGAAATACGTCATTTATTGAATGAATGAACATGACATGTTTTGACTTCCCTATTTTTCGTGTGCACGTGGTTTTTTTTAAATAATGGTTTTTTG